AGGCCGCGCGCGCCGACCCCCGGCCCCCGGGCTCCCCGCGGGCCGCAGCCTGCTCTCCGCCCTCCAGCCTTTACCCCCGACGGGACCCGCCCGCGGTCCTCGCTCTGCCATCGCCGGGCGGTTGGGAGATGCTCGGAATCTCAGCCCCAGAGCCCGGGGCTGGCTAATGGCGCTGCCAGCGCTCGTCCAAACGGGCATCCTCGGGAGGCGTCTCAGGCTTCGCGTGAAACACGGCACCGCATTGAAAACACGTCTCCGACGAGAGGGCCTGTCTTCGCACCCCCGGCTCCTGTCCTTGTCCGTCCAGGGAAGAGGTTTATGATAGTCCCAGAAGGGCCCCCCTGGTTCTTGCTTCATCCGACTCACCACCGAGAGGCATCCGAGGCTGAGACGTGCCCCCAGGCGGCTCGGCAGGGTCACATACCCGGAGAATAAAAACGTAAATGGTCAGGACCCAAGGCTTTGTACGTGATTTTCGTAGTACTCACTTTCCTAAGAAGTTGTGGGAGTGGAGAGAGTTAAGTCTTATTAAAACACATTAACGAGCCGTGAGGCACCCCGCTTTTCGAAGGTGGGAGGAATTACGGAATCCGCTGAAAGGCTTGGCCAGGCTCGTGCACCATACTTGGGGTTTGTAAACAGAAATTACCTTGATTAAAAGGGTTCTCAACCGCAGGCAGCTAGGTGAGCCTCGACTCCTTTTGAGAATCTGCTGAAGAGCTATAGAACCTCTCCCTGGAAAAGTGCAGGTAGACGCTTAGACAAAACTTCCTCGGGATTTCTGGGGCTTTGTGGTCCTGCTGCCCTTCATCTGTAGGCCCTGTCCCTCAAGCTTATGACTCCAAGTTCAGAACTTCCGATCTTTAAAATTATTTAATTTTATAGTTTAGGATCCTGAGTCTTAGGTTAAATAATAGAACTGAGTTCTTACAGTTTATGAATTAGAGACAGAGCTAATAGTAGGACACACTGGTTCATGTCCCTTGGCTCCCAATCCAGTACTCTCTGTACACTTCTAGAATTAAAATATCAGGTAAATATTAGGTAATTACTGACAGTATTGGTATGGGTTGAAAAAGTATACTGACCTTAGTGGTAGAAGCAAATTGAAGGGTACAGTTCTGGCGATTGATTTCTCCCTATTGTGCTAAATTACTTAATGTTTTTAGTCTTTGTAACATATTTCTTTTTTTCTTTTTAAATATATCTTTATTGATTTCAGAGAGAGGAAGGGAGAGAGAGAGAGACAGAGAAACATCAATGATGAGAGAGTCATCGAGCGGCTGTCTCCTGCACGCCCTCCACTGGGGTTGGAGCCTGCAACCCAGACATGTGCCGGGACCGGGAATCAAACCCCTATCTCCTGGATCATAGGTTGATACTCAACCTCTGAGCCACGCTGGCCGGGCTGTAACGTGTTTCTTAAGTACTGTGATACCCATTCCATAATCAGTACTGTAATTGTTTCTTTTCTCTTAAAGTAAATTCTAACTTCTTGCTGAAGCAAATGGAAATCACCTGAATAGATTGTTTTGTTTTGCTTGAGACTGAGAGAAATAGGAGACTTGATCAGGTTATAGACCCAGACTGGCAGGAATAACTAGAGAATAAATATAGAGAGGTCACTGAGTTCCAGAAATATGCATTGATCTTTTAAAAAACGTTTTATCATAGAGAATTTCAAACATATACCAAATTAGAGTGGTATAATGAACTCTGATGTGGCTGTCAGTCAGCCTCAACTGTTAAAGTGGTTAATCTTCCCTGTCCCCTTCTACATATTGTGCCAACATGCCCAGGAACTGTGGGAACACAGTGAGTCCTGAACCCTTTAGAGGAAGATTTCCTATGAGAGGTGACATCTGGGTTGAATCTTAAAAGAGTTTGCATGTTAGGGAAAGGAATTAGCCAAGAGAAGCATATGGAAAGAGTAGAATAGTCCAGTTAAGGGGGACTGCTTGAGCTCGGTGGCAAGAATCATCCATTGTGCCTGATGCTGATGTGTAAAGAGTGAAGGGCAGAGCAGAGGAGATGTGTAGAGGTGGGTAGGCCTTTGTGATGCGTGGAGTTATTTGCATTCCTGTCTTCACCTTTGGGGAGGACTGAAGTTTTTTAGGCTCCGAGTGACTGACTAGGATTTGCATTTTAGATAGATTTCTCTGGGAGCTTCATCGGGGTAAAACGGGAAGCAAGGGACCAGCCAGGTTATAGACACACATTCTAGGTGTGAGATGAGGGCTTAAAGTAGGGTAGTGGAGAGGAGGGAGAAGGGCGTACAGACCCCCCCAGATATTTAGAGGGTAAATGAGGGACCAATGTGGCGGTGAGGGAGGAGGTGGCATCTAGGTTGCTGGCACAGGTTATGAAGGTGCCTGTTGGTGCCACCCCCAATAGACCATAGGAGGATAGGGAGAGGAGAAAATACTGTTAATGTGACTCAATAGTTGGGAAAGGAACAAGAGGAGCTGCCTGTTTATCCTCAGGTTGTAAACATATGTTCCCACCCTCCCACTCACGTTTGCAGGGGAAGGATTCGTTGGGAGATGTGACTGTCTGGCCGCCCTCTCTTGCAGGGAGTGATGGGGAGCTCCTGCAGTGATCCTTTAGCGTAGCTGAATTACTCCTTAGCCTCCATTAAACCAACCCCACGAGGGAGGTGTTGCAGTGGGGCTTGAGCAGTGCTGCTCTTGACTTAATTGTTGTGACTGAAAGGCAGCAGGTTTGCATTTCGTGGGGGCCTGGCTAATGTGAACGTGTAAGTTGACCTGGGTCATCTCCGTTGTTCGGCCTGTTCCTTCCTACTGTCATGCACCAGAATGGGGTAGTCCATGCATTTAAAGATTATTTTAGCACCAGGACCTGGCCATTTGAACAGGAAAGGCTCCTCTCCTCAGTGTACGCTTTAAATGATCTCTAATACTGACAGTTCAGGGTTTCATCTCTTCTAAGTCCAAATATCTATTGAATGTCTGTTCTTGGGCACATGTATCTATGAGCACATAACATGCCCTTTTTTTAAAAAAGAAAAAAAGAAAGCATATACATTTTATTAGATGTTTATATATATATACATGTAAATATACATACACACACACATATAGTTTTAATTCTCACCCAAGGATATTTTTTCCATTGCTTTTCAGAGAGAATGGAAGGGAGGGAAACATTGATGTGAGAGAGACACATTGGTTGGTTGCCTCTCACACGCACCCCAACCACTGAGCCAAACCGGCAAGGGCAGTTTTTCCTCTATCCTCACAGGTTTAAGCTGCCATATTTTTGTTGTCTGAGTGAATTTTCCTCTTTCGTTTTGGGAATTGCTCTTTATGTGCAATGATCCAAGAAACTGAATATTAAGCTTCCTCGGGCAGTGTCTCCTACCATTAACAGTAGGCACTCGGTACATGGTAGATGGTATTACTCTTGCAGTGAGAAACTGATCATGGATGCCTAAAGGTAGTTCTGCTTACTTATTGGATCTGATGTTTGGATCACAGATCACAACCTCAGATGCTCTTAGAAGCCACGTAGATACTTTGTAAGTGAGCTGGCTGAGGGAGACAGCGAGAGAACCGCCAGCTCCTTCTGCAGGTGGCTTCTGCGTCTGCTCCAGCAGGCTGTGGCTGCATTGGAATGTAGCCTGGACGTGCCGGATCTTGTGGGGTTTTTGGTTTGGTTTGGTTTTATTTTGGGGGTGTTTTTTTTTAAACAACTTAAAAATTTAGACTTTCATGTGAAGTTAGCTAGCAGTTAATTCAAATAAAAAACAAAAAACACTGCTGGCCCAATCTAAACATTCGTGGACCAGTATAGTCTGTGGATTGCCAGGTGGGCGAGCTTTAAAATTAGGAGGTAGCCAGTTAAAGTGGCCACAGTTAAAGTGGCCACATTTAGCCCTGGCCAGGTAGCTCAGTAGGTAAGAGCATCGTCCCTGTACCCCTAGATTGTGGGTTTGATCCCCGGTCAGGGCACGTACAAGAATCAACCAGTGATGCATAAATAAGTGGAGCAATAAGTCAATGTTTCTCTCTCCCTTCCTCTCTCTCTAGAAGTTATAAATAAAATTTTAAAAACGAGTGACCATATTTATTTTCTGAAGTTTAGTTTATTAGAAAACTAAATTGAAGTATCATTACTCCACTTGCTTTATGTTTTAAAGCAATTTAATGTGAAATTGCTGAAGTGAAAGCAAAAGCATTTATGTTCTGCCGTTAACAGAGCAGAATTTTCAGTGTAAAACAGCTGTTTTGAAACTGAGGGAAAAAGGAGAAAATGTAGGAAAATAGTAGTTGTTTTTAGGGGTTTTTCCTTCCTTCATCTCCAGATCAGACCTTTCTTCTGAGCTCTGGACAAGTGTACCCCGCTGCCTGCCCTCGTTTCCATTCAGGTGCCTCTCAAGCACTGCTCGGTCGGAGAAACCAGCTGGCCCGTCCCCTCCCTCCCCGCCACCTGAGTCCTCCTCTTCCAGGTGGCCTCAGTAATGGACCACCAGCCCCTCTTTTTCACGAGGCAGAAATCTTATTCTTCACGTCTCATAGGTGGTCGTT